CCTAGTGACAGTTGCCTTTTTTATTAGCTAAACTGTGATTTGGAAAACATATTTTCCTCTTACGAAGACTTGGAAAACACCTACGACTGTTGCTCTACAAAACCAGATCAGTGTTGATTTTATATCGGTATTGTCAGTTGTTAGATTAGATTAGAYAAAATGTACGGTCCTATAAAGGGGAACTCACTTGGACAGCTTATAACTCCGTTCCGTTGTGGTACCTAGAACTCCAAGTATAAAAATCCTCTTAAATCGACAAAGTACTTTTGATGATGGTTACAAATTTGTTGAGGCAAGCAATGTAAGTTTCGACTGAGTCTGTTCGTTTACTGGAGGTATGACTGTCAAGATGCTCAGCTCGGCCTCAGTATTGCAAAGGTTGCGTAATAGAGCAAAAAGTGTCTGTATGTTTGCACCCCTCAACTTTTCCCATAAAACATTGATAATTTGCGTCCGACTGGATTTTTAGCCGTGTCTGATGGCGACACACGCTGGCAGATCGAGAAGACTGCAAGAGATGTCCAGAACAAGGCACCAGGGAAACAATAGAGCATCTCTTGTGCACTTATCCCGCATTGGCAGGACTCCACTGTAAGCATCTGTGGTCTTTACGGTATGATAACGATAGTGAGGCCACAGAGTCTGTTAAAATTCGCGTCATGCGCAGACGTCATAAAGGATGACTATTCCTCATGGACCGAGCAACTGAGGTCCATTTGATATTGGAAAGAACCAAAACTGGTCTATGCGTGGCCTACCAGATAAACCTTACCGAACCTAGCCAAGCAGTTCAGTACATACAGGCAAGAACTTCATGTTCTTTTATTAATGTCGTCGTTTCCATCTACGTACATGTATATAGTATAGTATATACATTTTGTATGAAGTTAAAGCTTTCTGTTTTAGTTCTTCATTTTCGCATTGAAAGTGTTTTTTACGTGACGGGTCTGAAACTCAAACGGATGCTTTTTAGTTAACCAAAAGATACTTGGTCTAAGACCGGAAGTCGTGAGCTTCTGTTTCAGTTGGGTACTCTCAAATATCAAAAATATTATTAGTAGTTAATAGAAATCCGGGTCTCAGTCTTAACGCTTACTTCTACATCATCGCGAGCATTCTTTCCAGGAATTAATTTTATGAGGTCTAAGTACTGTAACAAGTTACCGGCGTTTCCGAAGACGATAGTAGAAACAGTAGCATTCCAAATGGTATTTCATTGTAATTTGTCATCTGTTTTTGATTCGGTTAATTCGGCGAGTCTAAGCTCCAGAGGCATCGCTTTTATACAGGACTTCCCTATATGTCAAACGCGTTGCTTCGATCTTCTCTCAATTTTCAGGCAATTAAAGTCTGTCTGCAGCCCGTAAGAAATGTTATCATCACTGTTAACTATGCATGAAGCAGTGGTGAATTGATCACACCCCCCGAAACCGCAGTTTGGCAAGGCCTGCATATAAAACCACAGCAAGCAGCCAATGACAATGTCTGAGCACGAATGACTGAACCTGATTTTAAATACGAGCGCATTTATATGCACAATTAAAATAAAATAAAATATAAATAATTATTAAAACACACACAAAGTTGGAATAAAAATTCAAGTGAACGCCATCAGCAGTTTTTACTGTCAATAACAGTTATATATATTAATTTTTGTTTTTCATTTGCTTTAATTTATATTCGGCGGATTCATTACTGCATTTAAACGAATTCATTAAGCTCGTAGTATTATATAATAAATTTGTTGGAAATATTAAAACGAATAATATGGAATTAATTTAATACTTAATCACCGAAAATAATTTCAAGGCAATTAAGAGTGAATGAGCGGCTTGATTTTACGCATAAACTTTAAGCTTAATATACATACATACRTGCATACAAATGCATACAAATATATTTATTTGAATGTGTGTACGCATGTAGGCATATATGCGACCTGTGTCAAACGGTCTCTCCTCTCCGCTCGCGCCCCACTCACAAGTGTTATGGCAGGCCCGTAGCTGGCGTGTTGGCGGTTCTTATCAAACGTTTGTGTTTACATTTAGATTAAATAATTTTTCTTTTTTTAATAATTATCATCAATTGACGCTGTCAACCGCTGTGTCAAAGCGAGCAGACATAAATTCGTGAAGGCAATGCACATACATASATACATATGTTCAACATATAGTACCTATTCACGCGGAACAATGTAAACGAGTGTTGATTGCATGTTGAAAGGCTATGATATATGTATTGATATAGGCTATGAATCCCACCTACCACGAGCGATAGACGGTGTGCTGCTGAAGTGGCAACCTTGCTGAAAGCTGGCTCATAAAGTCATATGTGCGGTTTTTGTTCACTATTCGGTTGACATAATCGCTCAGCAAAGTCGGTACTTCTAGCAACCATACCACGTTTACGCTAGTAGATAATGCGCATCCTCAGCGATGTAGTTATAGTGCGCACTAAAGACGATATTGCTGAAAGAGTCATTGTTGGTCACAATTGGATTTGTGCCTATTCACTTTATGGAAGATTTGGCGGAAGAATATCGGCTAGCGAGATTACAAACTCGAACTCGTCCTAGAATTGAAGCCGAAGGCAAAGTGCTTTGCACGTTCGATAAATGGGCCCAAATCGAGATGGCCATGAAGCTCTCTTTATGTTGAATGTGTACGTTAATAAGGAAAATTGTCGCATTTGGTGTGATGATAAGCTATTATTGAGCCGCCGTTACATTCTCAAAAAGTCACTGTTTGGTGTGCGCTATGGGCAGAGGGAATCATTGATCCATAATTCTTCAAAATGAAGCCGACCTAAAGTCAATGGGTATCAACCATGCTTAATGACTTGTTCATTGCCAAATTTCAGGATGTTGATCTGAACATCCTTTGGTTCCAACAAGAGATCGCTGCATGACATTCCGCCAACGAAACGAAACAGCGAATTTATTAAAGAAAGCATTTGGCGTATTATCTGACGCCGTAGGTATGAAATGTGGTTTGTAAGTTCGAGCGATTTAAAAACGCTGGAAAATTGTGTGTAGGATTAGTGAAGCCGTTTGTCTACGCAGATAAATCCAACATGATTGTGATAAAAATTGGACCACTCGGCTGAAATTTGTAGCCAGCTGCGGCGATAACTAGCCCGCAATCATTTTTGAAACACTTCAAAAACACGTTTTATAAATAATCAGCGTGGTATTAATATTTTTGGTATAAAATATTTTTCTCTTAACCTTTTATACCCCAGAAGCTGCTCACTTGTCGGAACCGCCGATATCGATCTACTAGAGCATATTGCCATACAAACTGATCGATTAAAATCAAGTACTTTTATTTAAAACTTTTTTCTTTGATGAGATATTTTCAGTTTTTTTTACCGTTTCGGTGCAGGTGCATTCGGAGGATACTTTGAGGTTACTTTGAGGCATTAGCAGCATTTTCTTTTCCATCAGAAAATAACTTTTCTATAATACACGAATTTTCTTTTTATCGATCAGAATGATATATCTCACAAACCAAATCCCACCTTGTCTTGTTCTTTGAAGGCTAGCTCTAAGCATATGGATTCCATTATAAATGCTGCATGCCAATAGATATGACACGACCTTTGCTGTCTGACCAGCACCCAATTTAAAAATTTTTTGGACAACTTTTCGATAGCAATCAAATGGTTTCCCATGGCTTCCCAACATATTTATCGGCATTAAGCCCTATTTGACCTGCGGTGTCTGTTTGTTGGAGGATAGTGTGAGGAAGCTGTTTTTTTTTTATTTCTGATGTCCAAATATTCAGAATTTTAGAAAATACCTTCGGTGATAATTGTTTGTCATGAGCAAGTGTTTTTGGTTGGTACAAATTATTCAAAGAGGGTCGACAACGTATTGACAACGAACCCGTCCAAGGCTATCAACATCATCTTATGATCAACACGTCAGAGATCTTGCTGTCACCTTTGGAATATCGGAAGGCTCAGTAAAAACCATTCTGAAAGATCATTTAGGCGTAAGCAATGTGAAAGCATAATTGTTTCAGAAATCACTCAATTTTTTTCGAAGAATAGCGTCGCGGTAACCACTCTGAAAACATGCTTTCCGATCGTAGCAAAGGTGAGCCGAAGCTGAAAACCCACGTCAAAGCAGGTCAAAAATCAAGGTTACCTTGACAGTCTACTTCGATTATCTAGTTGTGTTTCACTACAAATTCCTTCCGACCGGTCAGACTTTCGACAAGGCATACCATTTCAGTAATATGCGTCGTTTGCGCGAAGCTATTCGTAAAAAAACCGGAATTATGTGCCGAAAACTATGAATTTTTGCACCACGATAATGCACCGTCGCCTAGCTCATTGATTATTCGTGAGTTTTTCGCCAATTTTTCAACAAATATCGTGTACAACGACCATATTCGGCTGAATTAGGTCCGTGTGGCTTTTGGCTATTCAACAAACACAAACTACCGCTCCGGGAAACCCGTTTTGAGTCAATTGAAGACATTAAACGTGAATTGCTGCGCGCATTGAAAAATATTTCGGAAATAGTATTTTATAACTGTTTCGAGGATTTGAAAAAATGTTAGTACAAGCGTAAATTAAGAATTTCAAATTTAATAATTATTTAACAAAGTCTTACTATTTTTTTCCAATATCTAGGTCTACATCTTTCGTTTAGTTTAGTGAAATAATGTGTAATATACCATATACATATGCTTATCTCCTCTATGTGTTCGGCCTCGGTAGAGATCCGTAAACTCATTTCGAAGAATTTCATATATTTCGCATGAAATCTACACATCTAATGTCCGTTTTCGCTTGCATTCAACCTCCACCTCCGCTAATAAATATTGTATAAAAACAAAACTAAAACACAAAAAATATCACAATTTATATAATATTTGCAATAGCAAAGCATTATTTATTAATATAAAAAAATATTGATAGCGAAATGAATTGTACCACTTAAATTTCTACAAAGTAAATAATTTCAACTATTTTTCATTCCATTTTTGCAGATAACGAATTGGCTCGAGGGCAAGATAGGCGCGCCAAACCGCGCGGTCAGTAGTCAGCCGACCAGCCGTGTGTGCAGTTGAAGCGTAAAGTGTCGACAGCATTGAAGGCGGATTAGCGTCAAAGCGACAAAAAAAGCAAACGGCCAGAGTGAGCGGCCGAAAATCCATACTTATGTATGTACGTACTATATATGTACATATGTGTCAATTACTCAACGTGTAATGTAGTGTGACGCGTATCGAATTAGTTGCGAGCTGTAAAGTGAGTATGAACAATGGACGGTAGCTGCTAAAAGATAATCCACTTGAAAAAAAAATATTAAAATATAAAATTCTTGCGCTCCAATTACAACGGATTTCACAAATGATTATGAAATGAAATGTGACAACTTGCAACATTTTGCGGCGAACAACAATGTATGCAACGAAATATGGCCTGCAACAGGCAAACCGGCGAATGCAACACAATGCCGCTACTACGGTACGCCATGCGACGATTTGACAAGAGCTAGCGAGCGAAATGGGCAGAGCGCATGCGCAAATGAAAAGTGTTGAGTATATAAAAATTTGGAAACATATCAAATGGCGGCGCGACTATAAACATACGCAAGCATTAAATGTGCCAAACAAGTAGAGAGATTTGTTGTTTGTTGCAGACAGCCTAAGCAAGCGGGCAGTGGAAAACTTTGTGCGTTAGAAAGTGGTAGTTTTTAAAACAAAAATATTATTTTAGAGGTTATAAAGGCTTTTTTTCCAAAAGTAATGTGTGTAAACGCGAGCGTTTGGTGTGAATTTTGTCTACTTCGATGCCTGTAAGAAGGTTAAAAAATTTAAAATTACTAAAAAAAGAAAGAAATTAGTGGAAAGTATAAACGAATATATTTTATTAAAAAAGAAAATTAGGAAAATTAAGCATAAGGGATTTTAACAATATCTAAGCCATAATATATCTATAAATAAATATATATATATATATATGTATATCAATAAGCTATATAATAAAAGCTGCAGCTTAAAAGTGTCATGAGATTTTTTCAATTCTAAAATACATTATTCCAAGTGCCGTACTTAATTTTCTGCGCATATTTGTAACCCACTGTTGTGATCAATTATTAGCACTAAGTAAATAAAAAATAATTTGCGCACAAAATGCTGAAGAAAAGAAACTGTTGTAAAGCTAACTTAACTTAACTCCATAAATAATTACTGTAAGTGAAAGCTTCACCAAAAGCTTGAAAGCTTTCCTAAAACCTAGAGACTTTAGCAAAGCCGTAAAAGCTTCGTCAAAAACGTAAAACAAAATCGTGAAAGCTCCGACAAAATTGTGAAAGCTTCGATAAAGCATGAAAGCTTCAGCAAAGCTGCTAGTGAAACGTGAAATCCTAAATAAAAGCGAGTAAAAGCGCCTACCAAATTGGTAAGCTTCGCCAAAATGTTAGGTTTTCCATAAAACGTGAAAGCTTGAATAATTAAATTAGAAAGCTTCTTGAAACGCATGAAAGCTTAAATATTACGTGAGATCTTAAATAAAAAGGGACAGCTTTAAAAAAATCGTGAAAGCTTCTGCAAATTCGTGAAAGCTTAAATAACACTTGAAATCTTAAATAAAAAGAAAAAAACTCTGCCAAGCGCCTCTGCAAAGTCGTGAATGCTTCAACAAAACGTGAAAGCTTCACAGAACTAGTGAAATCTTCAATAAAACTTGAAAGCGGCAACAAAAAAGTGAAAGCTTCGATATAGCGTGGAAGTTTCAGCAAAGCCTTAAAAGCTTAAGTTTAACAAAATCCTGAAAGCTCTGAAAAAATTGTGGAATCATCAAATCCGCCAAAGCTTTAATAAAAGCTTCAGCAAAGTCCTGAAAATTTCACAAAAATCGTGAAAGCTCAACTGTAGAAACAATAAAGCTTAACATATCTGGAATAAAGCGCTGCAGCAAAAGAAACCGTTCCGACACACGCAAACCAGCAACGCCTCCACCGAGCGAAAGTTCCAAACAAACACAAAAGATAAAAAAATACCAAACGTAGCTTAAAAAAACCCTTAACCCCAATAAATTACACAGCGAAAAATTAAAGGTGTGGTAACAACAACAATAACACATCATACCAAATGACAATATCAAATCGTTTGAATCGCAGACGAAACATCAACATCAACAATAACAACGGTGACAACAGCAACACCGCCGATACTGAATTATTGCTGGCAGGAGCAACAAACACAAAACCAACACAGAGCTCCGCAAGCGGACGCATCAAACGCGCTCGTCGTTTAGCAGCGGCCGTCAAAATGACAGCGCTCAACCAACAAACGACAGACGATATGACAACTACAACAACAACAACAACAGCAAGAGTGTTGCATACTGATAGCGCTACAATGAACGGGAATGCAGCTGACAACGGCAACGCGCGCGTCAGCAGCAAGTTTTTGCCCGGGAAGTCGCTCAAATATGAGCGCCTCATAAATCAACCGAAAAATGCCGGTACAGCAGCAACAGCAAAAACTCTAACAAAAGCAATTGATGGCATGACATCCGAAGCGGCGCTAAATACTAACGGTAATGAGTGGCCGCCACAGCAGCAGCAACAACAACACTGCCGCTTGCAAGATGAGGCCACAGCAGCGTTGTCCTCGTGGCACGATGCCCATTCATCGTCAACGCCCGCTACAGCGACGTCCGCGGCGACAATGAGGAATTGGCAAGCACATTCGGAAGGCGCGGAAACGCATTTATCACCAGCAGTCAACGGCGTGGGTGTAGTAAATGCGAATGCCAAAGCGCCTGCGAAAATGCGAAGCCGCCGTGCCAATGGCGGTAGTGGTGGTCATAGTTGGAGTGGCAATTATCAACAGCAGCATCCGCATACGCCAGAGCCGCAACCAACGACGACAACACCGACAACTCTGGTGGCGGGTTCTGCAATAAAACCAACACTGTCGTCGGCACGCACACAAAACCAAACTGTTGACAATGGCAGTGGCGGCGGCGACGGCGGCGGCTTTGGCAACATGACCGGTAATGGCAACAGTTATGTCAGCGGTAATAATGTGAAATATTTTGGCAATGGCGTCGACTATAATGGCGCATCTGCGTCCGACACGGTTGCCTTGCTCAGCGCGTTGCCAACGAAACACGGCGAACAGCAACAGCCGACCACGAATTGGCACAGCAACAGTGCCAACTTAACGCGCAGTACTAAAGGTTTCTACTACAGCGCCGTCGACGACAGCGTTGCTGATTTCGATGCAAATTACACATCGCAAGCGCCATCCGCGTCCGAGTCGCCGCTATACTACTCATCAGCTGCGTCGTCTGCGCGTTGCGCCTCCTCACCCGCCGCTTTCTACATGTCCAACGGTGCCGCGTCCTCTTCGCCGTCCAGGTCGGGGTCGGGGTCGAGTTCTGCGCACGGGTCATCATCCGCGGCCGTTGCATTGGCATGTAATTGTTGCAGTAATTTAATTGCCCGCTGCTGTTTCGGCATACCACTGCTGAAGGCAATCAACGTGCGGCGCTGTGTGTTGGCATTGTTCGCCATAACGGTCGTTACGATTTTTTACTACACTCATTACGTCGATACGGGCGTTTTTGTCGGGTAAGTGGCATGTGAGCGAAATGCTCGGCGAAATTTTCATTACAAAGCTTCACTCATACTCACACAAATACACATTTATCAAAAACATTAACGCAAGTGTGCTCATACAGACCTCAGCGCTTGCTGTTTATTTATTTATAAAATATCGTAACTCKAAATTGTGAGGTTCAGAGAAAAACTGATAACATTTATTTTAATGTAATTTTTTGATTCAAAATATTTTGTTAAACCTCCATTTCTTATTCTTCTTTATTGGGGTTGACATCGCTTACACGGTTATAGCCGAGTTTACAAAAGCACGCCAGTCGCTCTTTACATTCACTGGTTGGCACCAATTGAATATTGCAAGTGTAGCCAAGTCTTTCATTAGTACATAATTAGAGATTCCAAGTATAGCCAGGCCCTTCTCCATCTAGTCTTTTCACGGATTGGAGGTTCTCCTCTTCCTCTGCTGTCTCCGGCGGGTACTGCGTCGACCTGACCGCTGTTTGGCGCCAAGTGGAAATTCCAAGTGTAGTCCGGTCCGTCTCCATCTGATCTTTTCAACTGCAGCTGGAGCTTTTTCATTCAATCGAACGACATAACCTAGCCAGCGTAGCCCCTGTCTCTTAATTCTCTGAACTATGACAATCTCATCGTATATCTCGGAGCGTTCAACGTTCCATCAACTACGGTATTCCCTGTTGCCAACGCGCAAAGAACCATAAATCTGTCGTATAAAAATTCCAAAACTCGTAACTTCGACTCATCAGACGTTGTCATCGTACATGCATCTGCACCATATCGCTGGACGGGGTTGATGAGTTACTTATAGAATTTGGTCTTTGTTCGTCAAGATAGGACTTTATTTCTCAATTTCCTACTTAGTCCGAAGTGTCACCTGTTGACAATAATTATTCTACATTGGATTTGGCGGTTGACATTGTTGTTCTGTTAATACTGGATCTAGGATAGACGAAATTATCTACGACTTCGAATATATGGCTGTCAACAGTGTTGTGGGAGTCAAGTCGTTAGAGCGCTGATTTTATGTTTGATGATAGGTGATATTTTGTCGCCCTCGTTCATGACCAGACCCTTTTGCTTTGCTTCTTTCTTAAACTAATGGCGCAGTGGTTATGGCCAATATTATCGTTGTCACTCTCTTCTTATTCTTATTTAATATCTTATACTGAATATAATAATTAATTTTCCTAAACTCCTCCATATTAAATATGGAAGCTCACCAATTCCTAGCCATTAACCGAAATTTATTGTTGTTGTCAATTTAAATATCGAAATATCTGAAGAAAAATCTGATATACCCCGAACTTGAACATTTTTTGTATAGGTATTCGATTCAATAAGTTCTCTTCAAGGTTTTTCGTCATTTTAATCAAAATCAATATTTATCACCTTATCAAAACCGTTTTCGTTGCCTACATTTAGTTGCATATTTTAGCGCAGTCACACACCTTATTCATTGGTAATACAACTACCATTAAAAATATTGTTTTGAGTTACGCCTGTATTGCTGTAAACGAGCATTCGGCACACATGTAAGTAATTAATGGCTACCATCCAGCCTGCACCACAATTTCTACCGTAGTGTTTGTAAAGGCAACGCAAAGCGGTAAATTTTTTATTGCATACTTTTGTGGGTTCGTTAAAGGGCATTTATGGTAATCGCTTTAAAGCAGCGCCTAATTGGCAAGCCAAGAGGAACTCAGAAGAACTTTTTATATGAATACTTCAAAGCTTTTTAGGTGTCGGCGATATTCTATTGGTTATTGTTTGTAATTTTTTCAAATAAATTTTCATATGATTGTTTCGGAAATATACTTCTAGTACAGTTGTTTATATATTGATCGGAAATTGAGTTCTTATCTCGTCAAGAAGCTGCTCAATTTTCATCTGAACCGCCGATATTGGACAACTATAGCATTGAGCTGCCAAACGTGCTGAACTACTGAATTGAGCTATGGAAAACTTTCTGATTTGATGAGATATCTTTACGAAATTTTGCATGGTTCACTGTCGAAGCCAACAAAGAAATCTCCGAAGAAATTTTTCCGATCAGACCATTATAGCATATAGCCGCCATACAAACTGATCGCTAAAAATCAAATTTTTGTATGGAAAACTTTTTTATTTGACAAGATATTCTCATAAAATTTGGCATATATTATTTTTCAAGATAAAGCTGTAATCTCCAAACATAGCGTTCAGATCGGACCGCTGTAGCATAATGATAGCATACAAACTGACCGATCAAAATCAAGATAACACTTTTTGTATATTCTTTAATTGCTAAAAGAATTAAGAAATGCGCATGTGAAGATTATTTTAGCGGGCAAAGTTAACATTTTTTCTAATTTTATATATTTTCAAATAGGTGGCAAGTCCACACATATATTTTTAAACTTCTACTATCGAGTATTACTCCGTTCAGTCCAACGAAAACCAATTAAAATCAATGCAGTTTATCAATATTCTCGTTCCTTACCATGCGAGCGTGACTGAATTTTGTTACGTAACACAATTTCGTTGCAGCCGCTCGTATTTACTACCGTACGTAAAAAGTTTTGAAGTGCATCTTAAGCTGATTTGTGACAAAATTTGCGAAAAGAAGTGAAACTTGAAAATAATGTCAGCATAGAAGCATGAATATTTAACGAAATAAAAAGACTCCAATCAAAATTTTCACCACTTTCCACTTTCACTTGAATAGTTTTCCATTTGAGGCACCATAGCAAACAACGTGCCACCAAAGGGTACCCTTATATAATAATATCATATATACACATATATATCTTGCAACTTTTTAGCTACTCTCCTGAGTACACCCACACTGCTGGGCCATAAAACGGTAAACTTTTTGTTCACAAAATTATGAAAATGCAAAGAAGTGAGTTGCACGTATGCACAAGCGCTCGCACCAACACCAGTGCTGCATCTTGTGGCGTAATTGAATTTTCATAGGGCCTCAGCTCCATTGCCGGTTGTACGGTTAGTTAGTAGCAAGTTTTAATTTAAATTCGCTTGCGTTTCTATTTCGGAAAGCACGGCTACCACTTACACTTATTTGTTGTTGTTGCTGTCAATATGGCAGCGTGTGCGTGTGGGCGCTCATTTTAACCGCTATGGTTTGCCTGCTCCTTTGCGTTGCGTAATTGCCAGTTGTTGCATTTAAGTATGTATTTGCTGTTGTTGCATTTCTTTATTCTTCGTTTTTTCCCTACACTTTGCAGTTGCTTTTTCTTGCCTTTTTGCCGACATTTGGTCCAATTTTTTGTTGCCTTTCCGCATAGGCAGTTCGCCATGCAAACAACTATTTGTTGTTGCTGTAGTTGTTTTTACATGGTTAGCTCAAATTCGCACTCTCCTTGCAGTTTAGCTTCTAAGCATTCACTTTTCGCCTCTGCCTAGTCAAAAATTGCTCCTCTGCCTCCGTTCTGGCTGCTCATCCTCCTCGTTTATATCCGCAACTCTTTCCGGTATGGTGCGCAAATAAAAATGTAATTTGCTTTTGGACTTGCCGGCTAGCGATTTCAATGTGTGCGGTAATTGGATAACGCAGCAGGAAGCAATATAGATATTATAATAAGGGATAATTGGATAATCGCAATTCCACTTCAAGTTTAAAGTCGACTTTATGCACAGTTTGTGGTTAAGATTTGCGTCAATGTGCGCCAATGAGCGGGCAAGTGTGAGGTTAAGAGCGGTGTCAGTGATTTTGGAGAGGATACGTGATAAAATATTTCTGGGCTTAATGAGGAGGAAGGATAATTAATAAAGACTTGTGGTAGCACAAAATTTGTTAAATAAAAGTTAGGTCCTCGTTAGTCAAAGTACTGCGCAATTCTGGGGGCTATGGAAGACGGAAACATAAATATCAGAAACTTTTGCTTTGAGAAAATTTACGACATTCTAATATTTCTCCTTTTGAAAGGCAACATTGCATACTCTACTAATTTCTGTGTTGATGTACTGATAATAACCCGATATTAACAGCTCGACTTGTCAGGAAAATATAGAGTATATTTTTTCCTAACGATTTAGCTTTGAGTACCGGGAGGTAATAAAAATGATTTTATCTGAGGTTAATGTTGGTCTTTTAAAGTTTGAGGGTCAACTATATTTTGAGTTTTCAGTTAAACATAAAACATATTCAAAAAATTAGTGAGAAGCTGTCATTCTCAATATGTTTCCTTGACTATTAAAGCTATGTACGTCCTGCCTTCTGGACTATTTGAAAACTTTTGTGTGAGCTCACACCATATCCACTTCGCTCCGTTGGGATTCCAACAATATAATCTTTTTGGCGCCGAAAATACATTTTATTTACAACAAAGAAACATGATAACAGCCAGATAGTTGTTTTGCGCTAACACTGACCGGCTCACGGTAGCTTGCTCGAAACTAACGGCATAATTTTCATACGATCATTGTTGGCTGATATTGTCTCGTATTTAAAATGGACGCCTAACTCTCAGAACTTTCTCATTTTTCCACTGCAAGGAACCGCATGCTCTCCTCTACAAACAGAGTACATGCATACTGGAGCTCAACATCTGCTATGACCCTGAAATTCCGACTGTCAACAACCCTAAAATATCAGATGTTACATTCGACAGCCTGCATTCCCCCTCACCGCGATTGTCCCTAAAGTACGGGGTTGCAACAAGATTCCTAAGTAGCTAGCCGGCAAGAGCAAAGATATATTGTTGGCAACATGAATATAATGCAGTGACGCAGAAAGCAGATACAACCCTGGCCAAATCCCACGCAGCCGGTTCTATCTTACCGGAACTCATTTATATTTTATCAGGCCAAAGACTGTTTTTTCGGAGATCTAACCCAGTTTGGATCGGATACAGACCTGCCAGAACACCTCACTTTGGACTATAACAGGATGCCACCCAATATCTTGCCTCGACCTTTTACACAGCATAATACACTTCTCTCCAAACAGTTCTCGGGTGTTTTCATAGAATAAGCCATCTCTGCAGTCAGCTGCT